GCTGGGGGTGATGTGAGGGTGGGCAGGCCCTGGCACAGCTGGGGCTGTCCCTGCATCCCTGGAATGCCCAAGGCCAGGCTGGACATTGGGAACACCTGGGACAGTGGGAGCTGTTCCCAGGGCACAGGTGGCACTGGATCCCTCTGAGATCCCTTCCAGCCCAGATCACCCTGGGATTCCTCCTGGGCAGAAAGGAACAGCCCACACCCCCCAGCAGCAGGGCTGGCACCTCCAGCCCCTCCTGGATCTCCGGATCCAAGGGCTCATCCCAGCCTCTCCCAGAGCCGGGGCTGGCTGCACACATCAGCTGTGGGCACAGCTCTGGCACCAGCCCAGCCCCCTTCCTGCTGCCTCAATGCCAGCACTTTGATTCAAGCTCATCTGCAAATGCTAAAAACGCTGCAGCTTTTCAACAGAGTCCACCCAGTCCATCCTTCAGCTGGCTGGAGCGAGACCTTGAGGGAGGGGGAAAAATCCCCCTTTAATTGTGTTATGTCACCCAGGACAGTGTGACACCCACCGAGACTTTTCCCAGCTGAGATTCCCAACACCTGGGGCATCCTTGGGGCCTCTGTGCACAGGAATTTGTGCTTACAGCCCATGCAGGGAGGTATCTCATCCCGGGAGCTGGTGTGAGGGGTTATCCCAAAGAGCTCCCACATTTTGGGAGAGGTGCTCTGGGCAGCCTGGCTTTCCTCTCCTCACTGCCAGCAGCTCTGGCACACAGGGCAGGAGAGCTGGACAAGGTCTCACCCTCCAGGAGCAAAGGGCAGAGAGCCCCAGGCCAGCCCCAAAGCCCCAGAGAATTCCAGCAGCCAGGCCTGGGGGGGCTCTGTGTGTTTTGTTTTGCTCTTCGAAAGATAGCCCTGTAATTTAGTGACTCATCCATTCTCCAGCCTTTGTTGCTTTTCATTTTCAACATCTTTAAGCTGTTTGTGGAGAATGTGCTTATTTTTAGACTTCCCTTCAGGGAGAGGCATCTGAGCTGGTTCTGAGGGAAGAGCTCCATTGAGACTTTGGTGTCTGGGGTGTTAATGGGAAATTTCCTGCTGGGAACAAACCTCCTTCCCTTTCCTCACTGACCTGGGAGCAGGCAGGGATATTCAGGCTGTGCCTCAGGGGAGCTCTGAGCTCCTGGAGGGAGGAGGAGGAGGATGGATGAAGGGAAAACCAACACATGTTGGGCCATGAGGAACAAATGGGAGCCCCAGGATCTCGACTCATCAAACCTGCAAATCCCCATCCATGGCCCAGAAATTCTCTGTCCCGTGGCACAGGCTGGCAGCAGGAAGGGCAAAGGGGGAGAGCAGCCAGCAGCCAACCCCCATTTCTCTCCACTGCAGCAAACCATGAGGAGCAGTCCTGCTTAATTCTGTTATTTAAGAAAACAAAAACAAGAAACCAATGATTTTATCTGAAAAAAAAAAAAAGTTAATTTTTTCCCCAGAAAATTGACAAAACAGAAGATGATTTTGAGTCAATGAATAGGTTTGGGGCTGGGTTGGTTTGTGGAGTCTGACACCTCCTCATTTTGGTTTGCAGCTCCAAATTCTTGTGGGGAGCTTTAAAATGAAAGGATATTTCAAAATGAAAATTGGCTCTGTAGCACTCTGAGCCAGGCATCTGATCAGAAAAAAAAAGGGGGAAAAAGCACCCAATCCTGCCTGCTTCTTTTCTTCTTGGTTTTTCTTTTTTTAAATTTAATTAAGTCAATGGAGAACGGAAAGGCCTCAGATGAAAACCACACTGGCCCCAAACGTCTCCAAGGCTCCAGATGTGAATTACTGCACCTTCCTCAGGCACAGCCCCTGCTCAGGAACAGAGCAGAGAGCCAGGGATGTCCTGGAAAAGGTCAGGATCCAGAGCATCCCTGGGATGTGGGATCATCCAAAGCTGAGCTGAGCCCCCAGGGCACATCCTGGGGACCCTGCTTTGTCCCACAGAGGAATTTGGGGTTTGTCACCCTGTGCCACCCCCAGGGCTCCTTGGGCAGCTCCAGGGAGCTTTTCCAGGCCAGTCTGGAGCTCCAGGGAGCTGCAGTTGGCTCACTAATGGAGGCTGGAAGAGCTCCAGGCTCCTGGCTGGAACCTCCAGGTGTCACCAGCAGGACAAGGCTCTCCTGCTCTGCCTTTCCCTGGGGGCTCCTGGCCGTGTTTTTCCTCCTGACACCGACCCAAAGCTGCCCAGCCACGAGCCTGGAGCTCCCTGCTCTGCCATCTCCACCCCACGTGGTGGCACAAAGGGCTTGGCATCCCCTGGAGGGGCTGCCACCCCCTCCCCACCTCTGCACCCTCCCTTTCCATTTCCTTAAATCATGGAATCGGAGAATCCCAGGATGGGTTGGGCTGGAAGGAGCTCAGAGCCCACCCAGTGCCACCCCTGCCATGGCAGGGACACCTTCCCCTGTCCCAGTGTCCAGCCTGGCCTTGGGCACTGCCAGGGATCCAGGGGCAGCCCCAGCTGCTCTGGGCACCTGTGCCAGGCACTGCCCACCCTGCCAGGAACAATTCCTGCCCAAATCCCACCTGTCCCTGCCCTCTGGCACTTAAAACCATTGCCCCTTGTCCTGGCTCTCCATGCTAAACTCAAGGATGTTTTTTCTGTTGCATTTAAACTTTCCATGAACCACGGGGAGAACTCCAGGGGGGCTTTGGGGTGAAGCCCAGAGGGGCAGCCCAGGCCCTGGTGATGTTGGGCAGGTGGGACAGAGCTGGGCTGAGGCTCCTGGATCCCTGGAGGGGCCGTGCCCTGTGCAGGAGCTGCCTCAGGAGCACAGGAGGGTCGCTGTGCCCAGCCTGGGGGGTACAGGGACAGCAGGATGGGTTTGTTCTGCCATTTAGGGATCCCCCAGCTCTCCAGCCAGCACCCCAGGAGAACATCAGCCTGTCCCAGGAGGGAGGAATCTCCCAGGGCCTGAGCAGGAGGGCTGCAGAAAACCCGGCTGGGTTAATCACCGAGCGCTTGGGCCCAGAAACGGCTTAAGAGAAAACCTCACCGTGTTTTTTTAAATGAAAACCTTTCTGCAATAGATCCAACCCAGAAAAAGCCTCAGTCCGTGCATTGCAGTGCAGGTATGAGCCAAACACATGGTGAAAAGGAGATAAACACCGTGTCCTCCTGCACGGCCACAGGAGACAAGTTCCGCGTTTAGAAAGCCAATAAAAATGTATTTCTTTTAGAACAACTGCATTCACAGCACATTGTTTCTCTGAGAAAGATATGTTAGTGACTTTGAACTCCTCCAATGCCATCCAGAACATATTTTTTTTTCCCCAAAGTGTCTCAAAAGTAGCAAAAAATGTGAAAGAATTAATGACTGTTAACAGCTGAAACAGATGGTCTGCTGCGAGTCCCCACAGCCCCATGCAACTGTGAGTCAAGCCATTTTTCAAAATGGTGAAGAAAGAAAAGTAATAGAAAAAAAAAAAAAAAAATCAATTTCCAAGGCTACCAGGGCTTCCAAAATTCCACTCGGACTTCCCAGGCACGAGGCAGAGGGAAAGGAGGGGCTGGCTCGCTTTGGACCCACCTTTGGCTCCTGCCCAGGGTCCCTTTGCCCTCCCGGGGGATGCTCGGGGTTTGTCCGCTTTCAGCAGCGCTCCCGGGGCTGGGAGCAGGGATCCTTCATCCCCCCAGAGCAGTGCCCAGCCCACCCTCCCTCGGGAAGGGATCGGGGAGGAGAAAATCACTTGCCAGGAGGGGATCTCGGCTTGCCGGCTCCGCTGCGGCGGCTCCTCCTCCTCTCCGGGAGCTTCATCCCCGCGGCCGCTCTCATGCTCGGGCTGTCCCTGTGCCGGCTCCTGGATCAGCCCCATCGGGCACTCGAGTCCGGGGGCTCCGGGAGCTGGGCGAGCTCATCATGGGGCCGGGCGAGCCCGGAGCGCGACCCTGCGGGCGAGGAACACGAAGCTGAGAGCCCGCACGGCCGGGGCTCGGCGCTCGCTGGAACCCCGGCAATTCCTGCCGGGGAGCGGGACAGCAACGCGGCACCGAGCGGCCACAGCTGGAACAGATGTGCAGCTGCCGCCAAAAGCGGGGTTTGCAGGGAACACATGGGAATATCACGGGAATGCCATGGAGAATGCCACGGGAATGTCACGGGAATGACACGGGAATGTCACGGGAATGACACGGGAATGTCACGGGAATGACACGGGAATGACACGGGAATGACACGGGAATGTCACGGGAATGACACGGGAATGTCACGGGAATGACACGGGAATGTCACGGGAATGACACGGGAATGACACGGGAATGACACGGGAATGTCACGGGAATGACACGGGAATGACACGGGAATGACACGGGAATGTCACGGGAATGTCACGGGAATGTCACGGGAATGCCATGGAGAATGCCATGGAGAATGCCACGGGAATAACACGGGAATGACACGGGAATGCCATGGAGAATGCCACGGGAATGACACGGGAATGCCACGGGAATGACACGGGAATGATACGGGAATGACACGGGAATGACACGGGAATGACACGGGAATGACACGGGAATGACACGGGAATGACACGGGAATGACACGGGAATGCCATGGAGAATGCCACGGGAATGCCATGGAGAATGCCACGGGAATGCCGCGCTCTGGGACACCGGCCATGAGCTCCTGTGCTGGCACCGAGCAGAGGGAAGGGAAGGGCCGGGGCTGGGAGAGCTCGGACCAGCGGCTTCCAGAGCATTCCTTGGGAAGGAGGCTGGAAAGGCTCCCCCACACATCCACACGGGATGAGCCCCCCGGCACCAGACCCAGCCCGGAGCGCCTCGCCCGGGGTCCCTGCCCCCGTCCCCTTCCTTTTGGGGCATCACCCGCGGGCAAGGAGCGTTCGGACGATGCTCACAGGCACGTGGGGTGCTTTAGGGACTGCCCTGAGCAGGGCCACGAGCTCAACTTCCACGATCCCTGCGGATTCTCGCAGCTCAGCAGATCCCATGGATCTCTGGCCCTTCAGGCCCTCGCTCTCCCCTCACAGACCCTTTACTCCTCGTCCTTTGCTGCCCCCGGTGCCCCACACATGCCCGTGGTTATCCTTCCTGACCCGGCTTCGTGCCAGCCTCGCTCCGGCCGGGCCCCGGGCCGGCTGTCCCCTCCCCGCTGTCCCCTCCCTGCTGTCCCCTCCCCGCTGTCCCCTCCCGACTGTCCCCTCCCCACTGTCCCCCCCCCGCTGTCCCCCCCCCGCTG